CAGAGAGCTGATAAAGAGAGATTGTCGTTGTTATTCTAAGGAAAGCAAGACACATAAAAAGATAAAAACGAAACAAAAAATCGTGTATATATACTATATCAAAGAGTGGCAAGAAGAGAGAGCACATGAAGTTATTATTTGCTCGTATATAGCTTTGTTTCTTGGCAGTAGAAAAATGGCATCAGACGCATTACATAAATATGGTCTTACCGGTTTGGCACCCAAATGGCATCCTTATTTTGATCGTCAGGATGTGAACCTTGAATCCCATCAGTTATTATGGACAGATCTCAAGCTCTCCGAACTCGAAGATGAGGAAGGAATTTTCTTTACTCTTACAAAGTTTCGTCAACTCATCAACTATACAAAGGCCTTCGATAACTGGAAAAACTGTTTGAGACATATTGAAAAATGTCACGATACCTTTACATTTCTCGTCTGTTCCGCTAGCTATGCGCAGGACATTGTCCCCAGGCTGTTGCCGTTCAGCAAGACAAAAGTGTGGAAAGTGTATATCTACGGTGAAGATGAGGTATTTGACATGAAACATCTGGCATTCTTCGACAACAGCAAGGCTAGTAGTTGTAAAAATCCTTGATTAAAACATCGAATGTTTGAAATTTGTTTTTTTTAGAAACTCTGCTCCGTACATAGCGAACTTTGCGATCTTCTGGAAAAGATCCGGAAAGACCTGCAGGAGTATTTCAAACACGAAAAAGCCGGTATATTCAGCTATCAGAATCCTGCGCTCCAGGTCAGCTTCGATAATCAATTTGAGATGTGGTGGCATAATTTTATCAAAGTACTGATTAGTTTGCCGTATCCTGAAAACTATCACCATCGACTTGGGACTGAACTGAAGGAGCGCGACTTTAGAGATAAAATCATTGATGATTTCATAACAGACTTTCCTTCTAAGAGACGTGCTGTTTGGTGGTATTCTCGGCATAGTTTATTCTACGAAATTCTGAATCGAGCGTTTAGACAGCGAAACGTCAGAGTACTTCTACTGTTCGGATCTTTTCTCCAGGACTTATACCAAGAGTTAAAAAGAGAGCACCGACATAGACAGCAAGGATCATCCACGACATTGCCCATTCCTAAGGTTTATCGTGGTCAAATATTGTCAGACAAAGACCTCGCAAATTTAGAAGTTGGATACTCGGTTCGAAGTAACGCTCTGTTCTCCACGTCAACTCACCAGTCCATAGCCGAGGATTTTCTAGCTGCTTTGAAGGATGTAGAAGATGTCAGCCACGTACTATTTGAAATCGAAGCGGACTACCGACATCACAATGCAGTTTTTGCAGACATTACAGAACTGAGTTTTTACCCCCGCGAACATGAAACTTTATTTATGGCCAACACAAAGTTTCTTGTTCATAGTCGTCAAGAGCAACACGACTTACACGGCTTGCCGTCGTACTGGCTGGTAAAGTTAAAACTGCAGCCAGACTACGAAATATTAAGAGACAGGCAATTGGAAACTGAATCAAAGAGGAAAACTCTGAAGAACTGCATGAATGCACTTAGCGACATGCCGGAGCTGATTCTTACATCTGACAATATCACTGTCTTCGACCTCCTGATGGACATTTATCCTGAGGAAGAAAAGTGGATTCAGGCTATAAAACTTTATTCTGTTGCTGAGCTCGAAGCTCAGCGTTGCGATGATCCAACACAGAAGAAGAGTGATTACTCGTCTGCCTTTTTCTACTATAACCAGGCTCTCGCAATTTGGAAGGAATTTCGTGTGAACGACGAACTAAACTGCTCATTTGATATTGCAGAAAATTACCTTGCAATGGCAAAACTATACGAATGCGGACCACAACACTTATCTGGTCTTTCTGTGGGTTATTTGAGGGCAGCTGTTAGCTCTTATGAGCTAGCTCTACAGAAATGCTTACCTGGGGATTACGAAACAATGGAGATTGTCTTCAAATTAAGTACAATCTGTAGGGACCTAGCTGAAACTGATTTGGAAGGATATGGTTTAAAAGCAGTCACATACCAAGAACGATGGATAGAACTGATAACGCACGATACAATTCCATCGAAACCAGAACATTTGACACGGGAATATGAAAATCTGGGAGACAGATACAGAGTGATCTCTCGCTACGACTATACGCTGAGTTATTATAAAAAAGTGCTCGAATATATTTTGTCAGATGATGTGAAAGGATACTCGCTGTCCTACGTGATGGGTCTTTACGAAAAGATCATCATGGTCTGCACACAACACACACATGATTTCAATTCAGCATTACACTATGCATTAATGCGACACAAGTTCTGTCTGAAACAACTTGAGAAAAACGGGGGTGCACCAAGCCCACTTCAGTTATGCTCTCTGGAAGAGAGTTATTTGTCTGTGGCTGACTGTTATTTACACACACGACAGTATATTCCAGCTTATAAAAACTTGCATGAAGGATTAGCATATATTCGACAGAGAAAAGTTATATTGGTCGAAAAAGGCCGTTTGGCAATTCGAAAAGGTTGCTTGGTTTATTTACTTGACGCACAACTACTACGTGATCCCTGCAGCCCAGATGATGCGGAACTAAACGACTTAGACTGCAAAATTAAGAAATATGAAGAGAAACTAAAACATTTAGAAACATTGTTGGAGAGCGAGTGAACTTTTTGAATAAAGTTCAGCTTTTTAGGTTCTTCATCAGTCACATGTGTTAATCTTGACGGGTACTGAGTGTGAAGGTGTACGTAGGTAATGGTAAGGATGATATCTTGACCCACACGATCATCTTCACCCATTCCTAGGGATGTAACAAAACTAGTGATATTGGTAGGTGTTGGTATTGAGGGTGTGCGTGTGAGTACCATAGATATAATACAGACACATGAACTGAAAATGGCTACAATTGAAACATTCTTGACAGAAAATTTGATACAATGTTTTCTTTTTTTTAAAAAAAAACCTGAACTATTATTTATTCAGTTATAGATTCAAACGCCACAATTTTGATAGGATTAAATTCGAAAAACAATGGTAACGTTTTTTTATATTATTGATTGATAACAAAGGCACATATTAAGTTTCATTCTCGTAAAGTGATTTTTGAGAAGGAATCAAAAGGCATTTATAATATTCTTTTTTTCGTATTCTAACAATTGTTATCATTTACTTTGATCATGTGAATATTACTTAAAAAGCTTTTCAGGTATTTACATCTATTCATTTGATGCTTTGTCTGTGAAATAAAATAAAATAAAATGATAAAACTATTTATCGACAATATCGACGTCATCCCCATGAAACAATAATGATGCACTGATGGTGTATTTTCGGTACAATGTACTTTATCGAAGCAAGTGGACTTTGATAATGAAAAATCTATTAAAAATTAATCTTCTATTTAAACGAGTACTTGAAATAAATTGAGGATTATATACAGAAAAAGAAAAATAATTGTCATAAGATTAAGAGCTATACATAGTGTGTGTTGCTAAAGGTCGGTAGATATGTATATAAGTGCGTATTGTGAGGTTTGGATTTCACTATTCCCTCCCGTTTAAACTTCCATTAGATACAACGATGGTTTTCTTTGTACGACTCGTTCTTCTACTATTGTACACTCTGAATCTTTCATGGTCTTTATCAGTCGATCAATTAGCCGTTCTTGAATCAAGTATCAATGAAAACAGCTGTGAATTCTATAACACTCTAGAAACAATGATGCCATGTGGCGATAAAGGATATGTGGACGACTTTGCTTATAAATATTGTGAAGCATATTTGACTGCACAAGATGAATTCAAGGATATTAAATGGCAAAAAGGTGTTCGTGTATGTCTTCAACGAACTATGTTATCAAATCTTCAAAGCTCTTCTCAATTTTCCTGTTCACAAATTAGTAATTGGGGTTTTAATTCGCATTTCGACTGTTACATGCATCCTGTTTCTAACTCAACAGAAATTAACTTTTGCCATCTCACAGCAAAAGACATTATTAAAATCGGATGGATCGCTAAGAATAAAGTGTTCAAACAAGAAGTGATGGATCAGTTCTTAAAGCTAATTAAAGAATGTACCAAACACTAATTACATAATTCTAAGTAAAGTTCTGTTAGATACTTTCCAATAAGTATGATAATTATAACACACTTTCGATCACATCAATTTAGTGTCTTATGAACGAGTTTACATCCATTTTTAAAATGTATCTATCATAAATATATTATAATAAATAGATGAATTAAAAGAAAAACTGTTTGAACGAAAGAAGTTGTGAATGTGGAGCATAAAAATAGCTTGATTGTAATCATATTCATATTTATACCTATCTGCCATTACGAACCAATAGAATTTTCAATAATAGTTGATGCATACAAGAATGCGTGTGTGAGTGTGAGTAACGGGTGAGAAGAATACACACACCCACACCCTCAACTTTGTTGTTTATGTTTATGAAATAGTTCAATGTTATTCCTCTGGATTTTTTGTTAAAGGAAATTGATTAAAAAAATATTGTTTTGTTAGCAGTAAAATAATTTTCATTTTATTGATGATCACTTATAGAAAAATAATAGAAAATAAGTAAAAGAGTGATGAAAACGTTTATTTATAAATAATACGATATGCTGCATAAGCTTGATCATCACGATATGTAACAAAAATATGGTTTCCATCAGTTGTTGAATCATAGCCTGTAGGTGGTGTTTTCATAGTAGAATTTCCTTGAATACTACTACCCACTAAAACATTTGCTATAAACATAAACCGTTCAGTATCTGGTGTATCAGGACGAGTAAACCCATGACTATAGAAGGCATTCGAGGAAAAATAAGCACCTTGTCCATACACGGTACCTTAAAATAGAATCATTGTTTAAAAAAAGAATTACTTAACAAATAAAACTAACCATTTATTCCAGCAAATGATCGATTAAAAAATGAATTAATGATGAGATCAGCTGATTGTTGTGGACAACCATGGAACAATTGTTTTTCTGTGTCTTTTTTTGATGAAAAACTTTTGTATGAATTATATTGTATATACCATGGTTTATTTTGGATACGTTCAATTCGAATGATTTCAGTGTATTGATTCACCATTGTTTTATCGAATAAAGCACGCATTTCTTTATATTCAATCGAACTGGATTGTACTAGAAATTTTTGAACATTTTCCGATTGTACTTCCCAGTATTGTGGTAGAATAAACTCTGCGTGTCGAATAATGTTACGTTGTTGTTGATTACTTTTACATGTTTCAGTCTTAGTTGTGAAGTCAATAATATATTCTTGCGATTTCATATCAGTATAACTGAACTACAAATATACTATATTATTGCAATAAAATCTATTATAGGAAATACTTCTAATGTGAATAGAAAGTTGAAGTAGATTTGATGAAAATGTAAGCAAAATAAGATTTTCTATATTTCATATATCAAGAAAATTGAAATAAGACTCATCTTTACAGTTAAATCTCGATTAATGATATATCAAAAATCCAGTCAGTTGCCGCTCCTAAGAGTAATAGAAACGACTATATCATAAGAAAAACTATTATTTCTTTTTAAAATAGATCATTGATAAATGCTTTTGAGAAGTTGTCTATGGTTAAGTTTTAGTAATTAAAACGATCCTTTTCTATTCACTTACTGTTGATCTTTTCGATGAATATTCATCTTCAATACGAATATTTAATTCAGATGAATATTTTTCCCAATTATTATCATTTATTTTATATGCCCAAATAACATCTCGAGCAATAACAGCTAAACGAGCTTGTTCACTTTGTTGTGCTTGTTCTTTATGATATTCATTGTCAGCTTCTATAACTGATTGTTCTGATCCAAATAATTTCAGATAACCAATTTGAATGTTCATATCGAGTACAACATGTTGATTAAAACAAAATTTATAAAATTTATTAATAGTAGGTTGTGTCCATATTTTAAGAGCAGTTTGTTGTAAATATTCACGAACAGCAATCGATTTTTGTATATGATTATTTAAAGCTTTTTTGCATTCTTCTTGTTTTGTTATACTGGAAGATATTATAGTTAATTTAAGTGCTACAAAATAATAAAGGAATAGAAGTTATGTAGAACTATTTTTATAATATATATATACTTGATAAACGATAAGAAATTTCAGCATCCTTTATTGCTATATTGCCTGTTTGAAGATTATCAAGTTTCGACTGAAATGCGTTAAACACATCGATTTGTTGAGGTAGAATAACAAAAATTATTTGTAATAAAACATTGCCTGTTAATAATTGTTTTTGAGCTTCGACTAACATTTCATTTGCAATAATAGTTTTATCTACATTTATTTGTCCACAACCAATCGATGGAAATGCTATTGATGTATGATGAGTTTTAATGGCATGTTGTACAGCTTTTTTAACAAAATTTCGAATAGATTGATAAAAAGTATAATTATTAGTTCGATTTATTTCCCATGGTAAAAATAAAAGTTTCCGACATTTTAAATTTCCTGAATTTGTTTCAAAAGGTTCTGTTGGTGATGATTTTGCAGCTTCTATATATTCTTGTTTTACTGATTGACCAGCTTTTTTAAGAATATCATCACGAAGATACATCGATGTCGAACAAATAACAACAAGATCAACCTATTTAAATTTAGAAAAAATAATAATTATTTTTTCAATCTTAGTATAGTAGTACTTTTTGTTCAGCGAGATCATCCTGATGTATTTTAATTGCTGCTGCTGTTAATGCATCCGAAACATGATCTTGTGATATAGCTTTAAGTATTTTACAAGTATAATTTATGACATTTTCTTGTATTTCAATATGACATTTATATTGACGACCAATATTTATAAGATTAGAACATTCATTCTGTGCTATTGGACGAAAAGATTCTTCTTGAATTTCAAAATCAATTGGTGTACATAATGTGGCTAAATTTATAATCTGTTTTTCTATAGTATTTTGTAGATAAGTTGGTGCTAGAAATTTAGCATTTCTTAAATGTTCAATAATCTTTGTATCTTTATAATTAGCTTCAAGTGCTTTTAATTCATCACAATGAATATCCATTAAATAGTTTATCTATATAAAATAAATATTATTTTTTCGAAAGAAAAGTCTATGCTTTACCTGGTTAGGTTTCAAGTTAAGTTGAACCATATTTGATGCATATTTTATTTGAATATCTTCAATTTGTTTTTCTACTTCTTTGACTAAATCAATTATACCAAATAAACGAATGCATCGTTGTTCAAGTATAATTAAAATAGGCCGAGATCGTAACTGATTTTCTAATTTTAAAATATCTTGAGCAAAAAAACTTTGATTAGTTGTTGTTAAATCGGAACTAGTGGTTAGATTAATATCACGTGATATAAATTTTTCTTTAATAATTTTTTCAATTGTTATATCAGTAACACATAAATTTAGAAATTTATTTGATTGATCTTCAGGAAAATACGAAACCAATATACCGATTGGTGAATACTCACATGAAATATGAAGGCATTCATTTTGATCACCATATGCTTGAATGATTCGAACACAATCTTGATGTTTTGTCCATAATCCTATATTAATAATCATAGAACTATTAGAAACTTGAGAATGAATTATGATATTATTACCTGATTGCTCATCGATAACCTTTATCTTTATTGAATTAAAAAGAGTTCTTAATGATTTTTGTGCCTCATATATTTTGTTTTTATTTTCACTTTGAAAATTGATAATATAGATGGAATTTTCCAGATGTGATTTATCTTTACTCTTAGTAATAGTCAATTCAACTGTATAAATGTTCAACATCTCTGCTTTTAAAACATTACAAAATTTTGATTGAGAAAAAAAACCACCACCCTTGTGACTCTCATAATATACATCTTGGCAACTAAATATAACTGGTGCGTATCTGAAATAGAAAGATATTTTTAAATAATCATTTGATGTATTTATATAGAGTTACGTAGTTTTCAGTTGTGTCTATAGAAAATAAAAATTAATAATACAAAAATAGCTTTTTATTTAATGATTTTACCGAAACTTTAGGTATGTCTAAATCTCTCAGGAGATCATCCTTGATAGAAAAAAAATATGAAATTCAAATTATTCAAACACAAATAAATAACGTACCACATCGAATGTATTTGTTGTTTGTCTTACAGTGGAAGTATTTGATTGTGATGTTTTAGGCCGTGGAGTAAATATTTTTTCAACTTCCTAATCATATCGAATATTATCTAATGTTGTAAATTATTTTTCAAAAAAGGATTACATTCAGTTGTAGATCAAAATCACCATTCATTATTTCCTCTTGAAAAATTAATATTTAATTAATAAAAAAGATTTTTCAGTTTTTTTTATTATAAAATAAATCTACATACTCTCTAATTGATCTTGCTCTGCTATCGATAACATGATATTGACTACTCAAATAAGCAACGATAATAGATAGAATGTACTATTTGATTTTGTTGCTCAAGATAACGAATGTGCGGCAGTCAATATGTCATTGCTTTTTATATATTTCTCCTAGGAAGTAAGTATGATCACGTGTGCATTTCATAGACAAAAGAATGGATTGTAGACATTGAAATGTTGGCTTCCTTTCTTGTTCTACAATGAAAATTCTTTTTTTCCAACCGCTACTTTAATTTTTTTAATTCAACGACTTCAAAAAACCATGCATAAATAAAAACATTGTTGCAGTGAATGTTTCTTCTGTTGCTAGGTATAGTAACGTTAGTTGGAAAAAGTATTATATTTGTTTTTAATTGAATTTACAAAAAGAAAAATTGTATAGAAATGTACAGTTTTGAATTGTTAATATATCTTGAATTAAATGATGATGTAACAAGATGACTTGATGATTCGCGCATTTTATTCATTGTAGATGTTGTTTCAATGAAATAGACCAGCTGGATGTTGCATTCATTTCTCTCTTTCTTTACGATAAGCATCATATGTTATTTCATAATGGTCACATATTCAAGCTTTATATGTTTGAAAAAGAAATAAGCCAAGATGTGACAAAGACGAAAGTTTTATTCAAAAATAACATTATCAAATAGATGAATTATTGATATATGATACAATGACAATATATTTTTATAGCACAACTTCACGAACATGTTCAATCTAACAACTGGTTTATGGTCGATAATATTTAGAAGAGTAGTTGTAAAATATGATTATATAAATAATGAATAATGTCACACAAAAGGTTATAGTGTCAATCTGTTATCTTTAGTCTTGAACACGTTCGTTGCTCTTTTTCTGACCTTCATTGAATTGTTTTTTTTCTCCCTCGTTTATCTATACAAACAAGTGGTCATAAAATTATATTTTTTTCAGAACAAGTAATTCAAATTATATGCTGTACCATTCAATGATTAATCAAACGAACATCATGATACTTCAAAATTTTATATACTTTTTTTTCTGTTAATTACTATGCTCTGTACAAGGGTCACGTATATATATATGCGAATGAAAGAAAAAGAAAAAGAATAAGAGAATTTTGCTCGTGTTATTGAAGACAATAAATGAGACTATATTGATGAACTCACACTATGTTTCTATAAAAAAAAAAAAAAGGAAGAGCGAAAAGAGAAAACGAGAGAGAGGGAGAGTGAATAAGAGAATTTTTTTTGTTCATCATTTTCAATAGATAGCTATATGACAATACCTATTGACTAAAATAAAATGATTATTTATTGATTGTGAACAATATGCATTCAGCTTTAAGGTTTGATCTTATATTTAAATAATAAAACATGTTAAATAATATCTTTTTTTTTCGATTTAGACCTAAACCTTCTGTTAAATTACCTCCATCACTTATTCCATCGACAGTAGATCATCTTCCACATCCAATACTAAAAAAATCATGTCTTAGTCAAAATAATGATCATCATCATCATCAAAAATTAATAATAAATGGTACTGATCATCATCAAATTTCTTCTTCATCATCATCATTAAATAATACAACAATAATAGATAAATCTAATTGGTCATTAGGTTTAATAAATTCTAAAGGAAAATATTTAACAGCAGAAACTTTTGGTTGTAAAATCAATGCTAGTAAATAAGTTTTTTCTTTAAGTAATTGAAAACGATTGCTTGTTTTTTTTTCTTAGCTGGTACATCTTTAAAAAGAAAACAAAAATGGTTGATTATCTATAATATTCAATATGATTGTGTATATCTTCAATCACCATTAAATCATTATTTATCTACAGATAAATATGGCCGTTTGAAATGTGATATGAATGATATCGATGATGATTGTCGTTTTCAACTTGAATTTAATCGAAATGGCCAATGGGCATTTAGATCGTTAACTTATGGCATGTATCTTGGTGGTGATATTGATCAACTTCATTGTTTTAGTAAAACACCAGAATGGTGGTCACCTCACTTAGCTCTTCATCCACAAGTAAAATATTAATTCTTTTTTTTGTTTTATAAATCAAATAAATTATCTTAATTTAGATTAATTTAAAACATGTTCTTCGTAAACGTTATGCAAAATTAGATGAAGATGAAATTCATATTGATGAAATTATTCCATGGGGTAGTGATGCTATACTTGCTGTTGAATATCTTCATGATCATTATTGTATACGTTCAAGTAATGGTTTTTATTTTCATAAAGATGGAAAAGTTATAACAAAACAAACTGATGAAACATTATTTACAATTGAACTTCATAAAGGATATATAACATTTAAAGATTGTGATCAATGTTATTTAACAGCTATTGGTCCATTAGGAATAATGACAACAAGAAATAAAATAGCTGGCAAAGATGAACAATTTCTATTAGAAGAAAGTAAATTACAAATATGTTTAGTTGCACCAAATGGAAAACTTGTTTCAATAAAACAAGGTATTGCTCTATCAGCTAATCAACATCAACGTGATCATAGTAGTATATTTCAACTTGAATATGATGAAGATTTTCAAGCTTATCATTTACGAACATACGATAATAAATATTGGAAAATTGAAGGTCTTGGTATTCAAGCTACAGCTGATAAAAAGTAATTAAGATATATATATATATAATTTATTTTGTTTTTGAATTAAATTTAGATCAATTGAAACAAGTTTTCATATTCAATCAGTAGGTCATGGTTATGTTACATTTCAAACATCAAATGGAAAATTTATTGTTCCACATGCAACAGGAACTATGCGTATTGTAACAGATCAAATAAGTTCAAATGATGCATATTTTTCAATAAAATTTATTAATCGTCCATTTTGTGTATTTAAATGTGATTTTGGTCATGTTGGTTATCGAAATAAACAATCACGTATACTTGAATGTAATAAATCTTTATTTACATTATTTACATTAGAAGAACCAGATATTGAAACACATTGTGAAGGAATTGTTTATCTTAAAAGTTCTGATGGACTTTATTGGGAAATTTTAAATGATTTATATGTTAGTGTTAGTAGTTGTGAACCATCAAAATTTGCATTAGAATTATGTTCATCATATTCTCGTGTCGTTATAAAAGCACCAAATGGAATGTATTTACGAGCTGAACAAAATGGAAGTATACAAGCAACGTGTCAAAATAGTCGACAAGCAACACAATGGGAATTTTAGAAGAAGAAGAAGAATTTTTTTTTCATTCTCAACACAAATAACTGTTTATTATGATCCTCAGGTCAATAGATTGTGTGTACGAAAAGATATATATATATATATATGTATACGATTTGTTTGCTTGAGTATCATCCTTCAGATTCAGACATGACGTGTTATTGACATTTTTCTTTTTCGTTCGATGTTTTGTTTCTTTTTTTCTCCTGATATTCAGATTACATAGTAGTGAAGTAATTGTTTAATATACGTTTTTCTTTTCAAATAGAAATGATGTTATTTAACTGTGAAAATGATTTATAATTGTAGTAGATGTAGAAAAACAATGTTGGTGTTAATGTTTATGTTTTTGTGGTGACGTGAGAATGAGAAAAAAAAAATTTTCTACTAAAATTAAATGTTTATTTATCTCAATTGTTTAACAAGAATATATAATCAATTTGATTGTTTCTTACAATGCTATTGGATTATAAGAAATATACTAAATTATATTTGAATTTTTTCTCAAAATAAGAACATTCTTGATTAATTGTCATTGATCTTGTTCGAGTCAAGTATCACTTCCTAGTTTATTGAAATGAATTTAAAATATATTTTGAAAAAAAAAACTGTCATGCATTACAAAAATCAGTGATTTATTTTTCTTCTGCTTTCCATGGAAATTTCTCTCCATCTTTATCCGTATCTCCAATTTTCTTTTTCGCATCGTCACAAATCACATCTCCTGTATCTCCATCTAATAAAACCAGTCTTGGTATTCCATCTACTTCATATTTTTCATCTATTTTATCTTTCTTGTCTTGTTCATTAAAATCATATTTTAACCAAGGCATTTCTTTGTAATATTCATCAAATGCTTCTTCATCATTATCAGAACTTACGAAAATAATTTCAAATTTCTTCTCTTCATGATATTTTTCATAAAATTCGATTAATTTTGGAGTAAATTTACGACATGGTGGACACCTAATAAAAAAAAACAATTTCTCAAGAATAATTTTAAACAAATTTTACTTACCAATGAGCACTGAAGTACAGACCAATGACTTTTCCTTTGTATTTTTCATCATTAAGATCGACTTCTTTATCGGATTTATCCAAAACATGTCCGTCGAGAATCTTTGCGACACCGGCCATGAAATCAAACGTTGCTTATATGTATTCACAAGAGACAAAATTTGTACAATCCTTGATTTCGTTACTCTTCACTGAATCCTTTTATGTATTCTTGCGAGAAAGATAAATTCGATATAAATACGTGTAGGATGAATAAAATACACCAATTCGTTCGTTGTTTGTATTGTCTCGAGGTGAAACATATTATTCATAACAACAATCGATGTATAAACGTATCGCATCAAAAGAAAGAGAACGAAGGCGTTTTATCAATACAGTGAAACTTCTCCTAGTGAATACTACATATGAGACGGACAAAAAAAAACTTCTAATAACTAGACGGATAAATCATATGACACTTATTCACTCTGATTTTAATGATAAATCGAAAATTTCTACAAAACAACATAGATTATTTTAACGAACAACAAATAGTTTTTTTTTAATTTTACGTGCAGTTTCTTTTCAATCAACGATCAATAATCTATTCATTGCTGATTGACTTGAGGATGTTGTGCTCTTTTATTAAGTTCTATTGCATTCACACGAGTTTGTTTACGACCACATATAAATTTCATTTGTTGCTTAAATTCTTTACGAAACAATCTTGAAGTAAGACAATGAATGTAAAAGTTCATCTAAAAATATAATGAGAAATACAAATCATTCAAAAGAGAAATGCTTACCGCATAATTAAGACTTTGAAACCATCCTAATCCTGTCCAAACTGTCACAACTTGATAAAATGAGCTTACAAATAGTAGCGCCTCACTTGGTGCTGTGATTTTGTAAACTGATATCGGAAGTGTAGTAATCAGAAAAATACTAATACTTGTAAGTGTAAGAATGAACATTTGTAACTGAATATCTCTTTGTTGATTTGTTTTGTTGTTTTCACGCAGAGTTTGAGTTGGTTGAATTACAGTTCGTTTACGAATGCGAACACTAATGACAATATCGATAAGAATCAATATCATTATAATCACTGGTATTAAAGATATTATGAAGATCTAAATTACAATTATCTTACTAAAGTTTTATGATCGATTCAGTAAAACTTAAGAGGATCTTAAAGATTTTATGATGAAAAATTAATATTTTCATTGTCTCAAATGAAAATCCTTTTTTTCTAAATGTCCGTTTATGTTCATTGTATGTTGTACTCACCTCAACCATAGCCCATTGTACATAATAAAATAGCAAGTATGATTTACTGGATAAGGTCGGCCCGCATGCTGCATGTGCGATGCCAGGTATCAACATTCCATACGATGGAGTTAATGTGTGAGAGTAGAGACCGATATCGATAATAAGTAATACACCCACAACTAATAGAGCTTTTTTCGGTGTACATAAAGAAGCCGATTTAAATGGAAATCGAGTGCGAATCCATCGATCAACAGATACAGTCACCAGGAGCCATGATGACAACACCTGAGATAAAGATGATACAAATGAACGAAATCGGCAAAGCTCATCGTATTGAACATGATGATAGAAAGGAATCTGTCGTTAAAAAATAAATATCAAAAAATATATTTTTGATAAAAAGTAACAGCTGAAAAACAATACCTTTAAACCGAACTCAAGAAAATCAAAGATACATATGAACAAGTAAAATGTATCTGAGATAGCCAAGAGAATAAACAAACATCCAGTTGATATCTTTCGTAATGTTGAGCGTGAAAAGGTTATTAAACTTAATACATTACCAAGAAAACCAAGTAAAAATGTGATGGGATAACCGATCTGATAGAATAGAACAACACTAACGGGATTCACAAAAAAGGAATAAAGATGGTCCGAAGATGATGAGATTGTAGCGTTTGTAATTGGTCTTGCTGTAGCTGTATTATTCATGTTTGTGCCTCTAAAGAAATAGTAGAAAGTAGATATTTCTTCTTACATACAACTTTGAATGATAATTCTAAAAACAAAGTTCTACTCATATCTATAATTTAGAATAATCAGTACTAATGCAGAAAATAGAGATCCACTCTCACATATAATTATGAGTAGATGAAAACAGTAGTAATTTACACGCACGATGACTTGAATCATCGACAAGGAAGCTGACTTCACTGATAGGGACGCCTCATCATTATGTCCGCACTATGCACTAATGTTTCGATAATAAAGTTGTTTATCTTATACACATTTATATTTTGCTTCACTAATTCCAGATTTTACTGTAGTGATAAATAGTAGTAGAATCGATACTATCCATATGATCATGGCCTTCTATTATAACATGCTAGAATCAGAATTGAAAAAGTTTAATAAGATCAAAAAACCTAAAAGAAAGATGTGTATAAAACATGCAATTACTGATCATTCACTCGGCTGCTCGTAGGGTTGTATGAAATAAAATGCGTTTGTCTACATATTTATATTTGAAATCAATTTAGTTTTATGTTTCTTTTGTCCCTTTTATAGAGCGTTTTAGGCTCTTTACGAGTTAAATGAAAATTTTTATATGCTAAACTCTCAAATCTAAGAAAATATATGAGAAGAAATCAGAAATAGAAACTTCATACTTAACTCATGATCTAATGCTTCGTCAAAATAAACCCTTTACTTCTAGAAAATTCATCTGTTTTTTTAGGTACATATTTATAAAATCAAGTTAAACTGTCTTTCTGGATTAGTACAATCATCGTGTCTGAATAAAATATTATCTTTTCATGTTAAGTTTCACTTGTCCCTCATACGTGCCAATATAGATTATTTTTTGTATGTTATTTTTCTTCTCTAGAGTGTTTCCTATTTCTAAAATGTATAAAAGAAATAATTAATATCTTAGTTTGATCATAATCATTCGTGATGATGAACGATTTCAAAGAATAATAAAATTATGACTTCAGTTAATCTTGTTGGATTCTATTTATTTTGTTTATATATTTATTTCTCATCGATTTGATGAAGATTCATTCAGAAGATAAACAACTACACTTTTCTTATCATTTATCTAATCTGTGAAACAAAAGAATAAAATCAATTGTGCAATATATTTTCTCTTTCAATTGAATATAAAATAATAACTACATTTTATTCTTCAGGAACCATTGCATTTACCTCGTTAAGGTATGATTTTGTATGTATCCTTAACAAGAATAACATTATACTTTGTTTGAAACACTTTGTTTTCATATCCTTCCTACAGAATTTCAATATCATGAACATTTTTTTATATTTACAGTAAATAATGTCTGCTGACATTTCATATCAGTTTTGAAAAAGGAAACGGATTCATTGTTTTTATTTATTGATGATTTCAAATGTTGTATTTGTTGCAAATATGTCAGAAAAAAAATAAAGTTCTCATTAACATCATTATGTAGGCGAATCAAGAAAAAAAATAACGTTCTTGTTTTATTAATATTCAGTTTTCAGTAAAATATAGAAGAGTTTTTCTATCATTCAAGTTAATGTCTATAGCGAATGATTATTGAACAACAACAAACGAGAGGATCATTTTCTCACTAATATTAATAATTAGAAACTAAACTAAATTCTTCTCATTTTTATTTATTTCATAGTTTTGTAACTATATTTAGTAGAATCATCATCTATGGTTGACATTTGTTTGATTTAAAATAAAGATAATAATGAGTAAATGATTCTGATGCTCACTGTATATAATCGTTTTTATGTAAAATATTTGTAAATATCGAAATCTACGAGGTAGCATGTGAAACTAAACTAGTTCAAATAACAGTTAATATCATTACTTCTATGAAAAAAAAAACATTGAAAATCAGCACTTTTTGAAGGAAATGCAGCTTCTTGAGAGAAAAGAACGTATTTTATTATTTTTCATTCATTTGAAAGTCAATAGAGTTAAGCTGTAACTACATTGGTAGTTATCAAATTATTGTCTATAAAATACTTCAGTAATAGATTCAGATGATTATAAAATATTTTCATGAGGATGAGGATGAACTAACATCATGAAAAGACAAAATAGTGGATTTGATGATATTGTAGAAGGTTTGACGATTGATATAACTGCTATTCTCTTTATGTTCACTTTCTCTATATAAATTTTCAATTACAAATTAATCTCCAATGCGAAAAATGATTAAAAGAACATAGATAGCTCTTCATAGTGTGAAGAAATAATATGCACAATTGCCAACAGTCACATCTAAATGTAACTGTTCAAAGAATCTATGTATTTCATATGACTATGATTGTAATTAAAATCAGGGTTATAGTTCTCTCTGTTGACTAGTCATGTGCAGTAGACTACAACAAAGTAAAGATCAAGTACTAATCGTTTTTGTTTTCCTGAATGTCCTACTTCGATCTCCAATTAAATCAATAAATATTATAAATTTTAGAAGAATTTTTGCGTACAGTAAAAACATTCTAACGTCAGTTTTTTTCTCTGTGAGGAAATGATGCATATCCTTCGAACAGTGCTGATTTTTCAATGTATTATTAACTAATAATGACACTAAATATTGTCTCAAACAGTTTCATATTTATAAGAGATAACAACTGTATCTGATAAGAGTTCGTTTTTAAAAACTAACCTTGAAAAAGGAAGTGAGCTCATTGTTTTTATTGATATATTATGTTTAACGTTAACACGATGGTATACGTCATATAAAAGAACTGATTATTTAAAAAAAAGAGAGAGAGAGAGAGAGAGAGAGAGAGCATGATAATTATTTTTTTTATCATTTTAATAATTTTCTAGTTGTAATTGGAATGAAAAACTTTTAAGATCAGTTGGTAAGGAATATTAGATATTATTTGAAACATAGATTATTCTTTGTGAAAAGATATTCAAATAAACAGTTTAGCTTTCTTGTAATCACACTCTTAATGATTGAAAATCTATAAATGAAAGTTTTGTTTTTTGTTGATTTTAGATTGTAAAAGTATTAAACTTTCAGCAAGATGTCAACAATGAGAAACAACAATAGAATAGGAGTTGAAAATGATGTAATTTATTCAGAAAAAGAAAAATTATAAAATAAAATATTTGTCTTTGTTGATTATTTTAGTCTGAAACAGTTACTTCGAATACAACGCAACCAACAACATTGTATGTATATTGTAAATTGTAGACAATGATAAAAAAGATTTATTATCCTATAGATGTGAACATTTGAAAAGAAGAAAAATGATGTGGATCACATTTACTATTATTGTACTTGTTATGATTATAACAATTCCAATTGTTATGGTTGAAACAAAAAAGACAAACAGTGAAACAACATCAACAACAGAAGAAATGGAAGCAACAACAGGTAGTTAAAATGAGATAATCATTTATTTTGAAATTAATATACGATAAATTATTTCAAATGACAGAAGTAGAACTTTATTATTTATTATAACAACTTATACATGATATTTCTAAGCAACAATATCAAAAAGAATTTCTAAGATCCATAATGGAATTTTTAGCATGTAGAAGAAAAGTCTCTGAGAAAATCAGATATCAGTGATAATTCGACATTTCAGGTTTTGCTTAATATTTTTTGTATGCTGTAGATAGTAGTGACGTTAATACTAGCTGAAATTTTCAGATCGATTGGATCACTCCTTCATACACAAATAAACACAAGGCGAGTGGAATTTTCGATATTTGTCGGTATCCATTTTTTTTCGATTTTTCCGCGATTTTGATGGAATATCCTTTAATAGAGGTAACTTTTAGATATGAATCCCTTCAAAAGCTTTGATAAATCTATAAAAACCTCTAAAATATGATCACGCGAGAAATTTTCTGTAAATTTAATTGAATACTTCTATGGATAATCATAGAAAACTCTTCTAAGTCCAACCATCTTGAGGATGGGTGTGGGTGGGTGTGGGTGTGTGCGAAAAGAAGACAACCACTCGCATTCACACGCACCCTCAAGATTGTGAGCTATCTTAAGATTTGCTATTTGATTATAATTCATTCATATTTACAGTCCATATATGACTAGAAAAGAAGAAGTAAGAAATTAGGAGTAAAACTTTATCCAATGGTTTGATCTCATTCTAAACTCATTTATATAAACTAGAACTAACTAAGACAACAACAGCATCAAACACAATATCGATACCAACAACAACATCAACATCAACAACAACATCAACAACAACATCAACAACAACATCAACA